CGTCATATAATGTTTAGGGTAAGTCGGAGAAGGAAGATAGATAATCAGGTAAAATATTTTTTTACTTTGTTATTTTTTCAAGTAAAAAATGTATTAGCCAAATGACATGAGGGTACTTTAGAAATTCTAAGGAGGCTAAATGTTAGTTATTAATTTTTTTTTACCACTAGTTAGATAACAAATTTTATATAAAGACACTAATATACATGCTAATTTTTCTTTGTTTTCCTATTTTTCTTATCATATTTTTTTTTGACATTATTAACAAATTAAATAAAGGTAATTTCGTCCAAATGTTTTATCTATTTGTTACTCACCTAATTTCTATTATACCTATATTAATTTATTAATTATGTATCCCAAAAATAATATTAAGCTAATTCATTTTTATTATATTGAAAGAAAAGAAGAGCTGTCGCCGTAGAAGGTTTTTTTTTTTCCGACCATAACGCTGTAAAAGGTTTAATATTTTTAAGTTATGTAAAGACATCTCACATGCTTTTTTATTTAAATTCTCTTTTTTTTTTTATACTTGTGCAAGATTCACTTCTGAATATTTAGATTTTTGTTAACGGATAAATTTTGGCCAGACTGGTCAAAATAGAATAGACATATAACAACTTTGGACACTCTTTAAGGTTGTGTATATTAATCAATAAACAGTCCATTTAAGTTCACATACCCACAATGTTCATATCATCAAATACCTTACTCTTGTCCTCAAAATTTGAAACCTTTTACGGCCTATTACAAAAGAACCCAACAAAAATGTTTATTTGATGAATTGATTTCAACGGATGCAAGCTTGCTTGATGATAATCAAGCAAACCAAGAAGGAAGTACAATTATTTGAATTATCGCATATAAATACGGCTTAAATACAACATATAAACAAACGGAATAATTAATACTAAATTTATAAAAATTAATGCTTAAATATGCAAACGTTTGTGTTTCAAATAAAAATGGTCCAAATACTGACTCGAGCATCACAATACATCGTGTGGTTATATGTTGTGTACGAGTTAACAGAGATCAAAGACAAACAAAAAAACAGAAACTGTACATTCGCTTTGGTGCAGACAAAGAAACCGACAAAAACAAATTCGAGCAATAAATGCTGAAAGAGAAAAGCTTACGATTGCTTAAATACATATGTTCAAGTTCGAACAAGAAACTAATATGTTGTACATGCATTTATGTACAGTACGTACACATTTCTTCGTCACACTAGCCATCATAACTTTCTTGACCGTACCAAAACGACACAATCATTGGTATACAAGGAGTAATCTACCATATAGATCTATATACTATTATACTTATATATGACATGCTTCATATTCATCATAAGAAAATGACATGCTTCAAAGTCTAAAGACACCCTACGAACCAATTCAGCATTCATACATTATACATATACTATATACATGAATCGTTGTTCGTGTGTATTAATTATATATAGTTATATAATAAATGATTACCGTGTGTTAGATTTCATCGATCCAAGAAATTAATTTTTTTATAGGAATCCAAGAAATTAATTACATAGGAAAATTTTCCAAAATGCAAACAACCATCATGTATAGGATATGATTTGATTTCTTGAGCAGAACTCGAAAGAAGAACAGATATAATTGAGAGATAAATAGTACATGTAGATTAATAAATCTAAATAAGTCAAACCAAACATGAAACACTGATCGA